ACCGCATCCCAAAACCAGTCCAGCTCGTCCCTGCCTCCCTAACCTGTTCTTCCTCCCACCTATCCCCTCCTCCCACCTCAAGCCGCACTTCCATCTCCTACCGACCAACCTCATCCCGCCCCCTTGACCTGTCCGTCCTCCCTGGACTGACCTATCCCCTTCCTAACTCCCTACCTACACTCACCTTTACTGGCTCCATCCCCGCCTCTTCGACCTGTTTGTTTCCTCTCCACCTATCCTCTCCTCTATCCCTCTTCTATCTGTCTCCCACTCTCTCCCTATTTATTTCAAAACCCCCTCCCCCTCCCCCTTTTCTGATGAAGGGTCTAGGCCCGAAACGTCAGCCTCTCTGCTCCTATGATGCTGCTTGGCCTGCTGTGTTCATCCAGCCCTGCACCTTGTTGTCTCTATTTCTTAGAAATAGTCTTTTTCGGAATGCTCAACCTCTGTGGCTAAATCTTCTTGGTAATGCAAGTTTGCATGCCATGCCTTTCTATGATTATAAGATATTCTTTTTTGTTGTTTTAAATTATCATCCCATAATTGGAGATTTTCTCATTTCTTTAGAGTGAGCCTTGCTGTGACTCCCACAAGTGTCTCTTCTCTCAAAAACCTTCTCTACTAGATCAAAAATATTTCCTTCAAAGCTTAAAAACTGATTAAAACTCACCTGTCTAAATCCCAAGATACTAATTATTTTTCCCTATGCTCCCACTTTACTGTTGCTTTCTGCCTTGTGATTGTTGCACATAATAGCATAGTTCCAAATTGGAGCTGCAGAGTTTTTATTTGAAAGTTGACGTGCAGCCTGAGTATTTTTACTCCATTTACTAAGATTTTCCAAGCCTGCCAAAAGGTTTTCTTACCCAATCCTTGGCCTCTGCTTGGCTCACTGATTCAAATTCAGAAACAAGACTATTCACACAGACCACCGCTCTGACCACCGGCCAGGACCATTCACACATACCACAAGCCACCGACCACCACCCATCAACAGTATTCTGCTACTTGATTAATTTTCTCTAGATTTTCTCCATGACTGCACTATCCCTATGGATCTGTTCCAGCATTCTGCAGTTTGTTATTACCACTCCCTTCAGAATGAAGTTCGATCCTTCTGATAGTCAGTTTTGGAACCTTTTTTCTGGACCTTGACCTTTCCTTCCAGCTTCCAAATTGTGATCACTGGTACCTGTCTGTGATCTGTGGTTGTTGGGATTCATTCATCTCTTTGGTTGAGCTTGTAAAGATCTTAAGAGCCTGATACAGTTAACAGTAAGATGTTCATTACATTAAAGATTTTGCAAGAACTTCCCTGTTCCTCCCTTGACTGGTCTATGTCCCTCTGAGACTACCTATGTGACTGTCTGTGTGACATCATTGCAATTGGTGGTGCTATTCACAATTTTACACATATTAACCAGAGCAATAAACAGTCTTGACAGTTTTGTCTTTCTCTGAGGTGAAATATAAATCAAATTTTGATAGGGAGGATGTTTGAACATAATTCCTATGCTGTTGTTAGCTCCCTAAGTGATTCAGTCGTATTTAATGCAACTTCCCTCTAATTTTTAAATCATATTACACCTTAACCACCTTTCACCCAATCACTCAGCTGATCCAAGTAAGCCAATCAGAGTCACACATGGAACACTCACATTTTGGAGCTCATAATTTGACTACAAACAGTTCTCAATGTTAAAAGCACTTTCTGTTTTAAAGCCTCATTCAGCTTAGCAGTATTTTGACCCATGTCTCAAGTGAATTTTATTTGTAAAAATAAAATTCTGTATTGACCAATAAAGCAGCTGCTAATTCTATACCTGGGTACTAATACCTGAATCACAGGATTATACATCACAGAAGGAGGTCATCCAGCCCATTATGGTGTGCCAGCTTTTTGGTACATCTATTCGATTTGACCCACTTCCCCGACATTTACTATAGTCATGTAATATTGTTCTCTTCAAATGTTTATCTACTTTTCTTCTGATTTATATTATTGAATATGCTTCCACCACCTATTCTAGCAGTGCATTCCAGCTCACAATTACACACTGTGTGCAAGGAAAATATGCTTCCCCACGCCATGCCTGGTTCTTTAAACTAACTCCTGAAACCTGTGTCCTCCAGGTGAAGATCTTTCTGCAACGTAAAACAGTCTTTTTTTACTTTATTGACCTTATTAAAACTATAACTGAATAGCAGAATACTGTTGATGCAGTTAATCTGGGAAAGAAACAGAAAGTGCTGTAAAGACTCAACAGGTCAGGCAGCATCTGTGAAGAAAGATATTCAGTTATGAGGAAAGATCATTGACCTGAAACATTAACTCTGGCTTGCTTTCCAAAGATGCTACCTGACCTGCTGAATATGTCCAGCATTTTCTGATTATTTAAAAATCATGTCTCCTACCCTCCTCAGCTCCAAAGTGACTAATCCAGCTTCTCTAATTTCTTCATCTGACCGAAGTCAGTCGTGACAATATTCTAGTAAATTTCTCTGGCTGTGGGACTTTGACATTCTTTCTAAAGTGCATTGCCCAGAATTGAACATAATAGTTTAGCTGAGACCCAATCAGTGTTTTATTAAGGTTTGACATCCCATATTCAAAACTGATGCACAGTGGCAGCATTGCATACCTTATACAAGATGCCCTGGACCAACTAGCCAAGGTTCCCTCATGAACATCTTCCAAACCTGCGACCTCTGCCATCAAGAAGGAGAAGGGGGACAGGTACATGGGATCCCTACCAAAAATTCCACTCCAAGCCACTCATCATCCTGACTTGGGTCTGTGTCACCATTCCTTCACTGTTGCTGGGACTAAGTCCTGGAACTCCCTTCCTAACAACAATGTTAGTGTACGTACACTACAACAACTTCAGTGGTTAAAGAAGGTGGTTCACCACCACCTTCTCAAGAACAATTAGGAATGGGCAATAAATACTGACCAAGCCAGTGATGCCCAAATGCCAGGAACAAATTTAAGATGCTTTACAAAAGACTTTGAGTATCCTTTTATGTCTCAGTAATTTAATCTCATGCCACTCTTTGTCCCTCTTATTTCCTTTTATACATCTCTTCTGTACTTTCTAAACTTGACTTAATTTTGAATTATGATCCTTAAACTTATATTTTTCCTGATTCACTTTAGTCATCCTGGCAACTTTAGTTTTAACAGTCTTTCCCTGCTCCTCATGGGAATGTGTATACTTTGTACTCAAAAGGCTCAAAACCATCTCTTTGAAGTCTTTTCATTGCTCAATTACTGTTATTTACCAAGTAATTTTAGGTTATAATTAACCTGGAACAGATCCCTTTTCAACTCACTGATGTCAACCCACCTTCAATTAAGTAATTTTATGCATGATTGCTCTCTGTCCTTTTCCATAACAATTCACAAACAGGTAACAGTATAGCTACAGCTTCCATCCCTCACTGAAACATATTCCACTTGCCTGACTTCATTCCACAAAATGAAATCTAGTATTAATTCTTCCTTCATTGTTAGGCTGGAAACATACAGATCAAGAAAATTCTCTTGTGCATACTTCAGAAATTTCTGCCCCTCTTTGCCCTTTACACAGTCTATATTAAGATAATCGACATCCCGCATTATCAGTACTCTGGTCTCTGTATCCTTCCGTTAGTCTCTGCATCCTTCTGTAATTAGCCTGTAAATTTGCTCCTCTATTTCCTTCCAATTATTTGGTGGCCTTTAGCAGGCAGCCAGTTGTGTGATTCTTCATTATAGCCAAATAGATCCTGTCTTTGGTCTGACAAATAATCATCAGTCCCCAAAACTGTAGTACTTTTCTTGATTTCTTGATCTTTTTCATGATCTTTTTGATGTTTTCTTGATTTTTTTCACCTTCCCTGTCTTTCTTGAATATATTTTAATTTAGAATAATTTAGATAAAAATGTGGTGCTGCATTTTGGTAAGGCAAATCAGGGCAGGGCTTATACACTTAATTGTATGGTCCTGGGGAGTGTTGCCAAACAAAGAGACCTCAGAGTGCAGGTTCATAGTTCCCTGAAGGCAGACTCACAGGTAGACAAGGTCGTGAAGAAGGCGTTTGGTACGCTTGCCACTACTGGTTAGTACATTGAGTTTAGGAGTTAGGAGGTCATGTTGCGGCTGTACAGGACATTGGTTAAGCCACTTTTGGAATACTGTGTTCAATTCTGGTCTCCCTACTATAGGAAAGATGTTGTGAAACTTGAAAAGGTTCTGAAAAGATTTGCAAGGATGTTGCCAGGGTTGGAGGATTGAGCTATAGGGAGAGGCTGGGCTATTTTCACTGGACCATCGGAGGCTGAGGGGTGACCTTTCAAAAATTTATAAAATCATGAGGGTATGATTAGGGTGACTAGTCAAGGTCTTTTTCACAGGGTAGGGGGTGTCCAAAACTCGAAGGCATGAATTTAAGGTGAGAGGGGAAATATTTAAAATGGATCTAAGTGGCAACTTTTTCAAACAGAGGATGGTGCTTGTATGGAATGAACGTCAGAGGAATTGGTGGAGGCTGGTACAATTACAAAATTAAAAAGAATCTGGATGGGTTTATGTATAGGAAAACTTTAGAGAGATATGGGCCAAATGCTGGCAAATAGGACTAAATTAATTTAGAATACCTGGTCAGCACGGACGAGTTGGGCCAAAGTGTTTGTTTCCATGCTGTACATTTCCATGACTTTATTTGAGCGAAAAGTATTCTGCTCCAAATTTCTCCTTCTTTGAGCCATTACAGTTGAATCTGCAGTTCACCAAACCACTACATCTTTTGACACATGAACTCTATCTTAGATTGTTTCATACTTGCCCTCTGTCTGGCCTGCATATTTCTGAAAAAATATATTATGTGAGCCCTTTTTGTTTCTCTCAGTCCCTGATACATCTTGTGTCTCTTCATTGAAATTAATCCTATACAGAAGCTAATGAAAGGATGATTTACACAATTTTCAAGAAAAGTAGAGAGTATATTTTTCTGGATAAATTGAATAAAGAACGAAACTCTCTCTGGGTTTATTGTTACTTAGGCTCGCTTTGAGTGGAGAAATTTGCAAAAATGCAATAATTACAACCTTCAACTCTTCCTGACAATTTTCTCCAGAGATTCCTGAAAATAACATTGAAATATGGTGTCACAGGCATAGTCAACATTTAAATGCTTTACAAAAGTGACCATTCTTCATTTCCCTCATCAAAAAGCATTTGCAAACTGGCCCTATAACAAACTGCTAACTATTCTCACTGTTACTTCAATTTCAGAGCAACTATGTGAGTTTCTTTAACCTAGACCCCAGCATTCCTTCACTCTCTAGTGTACACTGTACTGACTGATGTTTTGGATTGTCTCCCATTGCTAAGTATTAACCTAGCTTCTTTCCCCATGTTTTTGTTTTAACTGAACAAAATGGCATTGGACTGCTCACCTCATGTGTTTAAAATCTCATAAAACATACAGACCAGCAGACCCTTTGGTACCACAGTCCCAAGCTCACAATGAAACTCTGAAAATGGCTAACCATGTCTTCCCCCTTCTTAACATACCATTTGGGAAATATAATTTAAATTCAAAGTTATATGTTGTTCTTAACAGTTAGTTTTAAAATCTGTCAATCAACATGTTGCCATGTTGTATTTAATCAGTAAATCACTGTTCCTCCCTCTGCAAATAATTAAAATGCCTCTTGTTCCTGGGAGACCGTAAACTGTTGCATACTCAACATCATATGACAAATCTTATTTAAACCTAAAACATGACGAAAAAGCAGATTTTTTTTTAGGCACTTAAATGATTAAGACCATCAACACAAAATCATCTCTTTCACTCATTACGAACGACATTGTCTTTATGTTTGTTGTATTCAAATAAACTGTGGAACAGATAGGCAAATTGACTTTAAAAATAATCAGCACAGAAAAATCTGCAATTGCAAAAAGTGGAATAAAATGCTGGAAACACACTGCTCAACCAGGCTGTAAAGAGCAAAGACAAGTTAGTGATGTTTTGATATACTCATTCTCATGATAGAAACTAAAAGTTAAACTTGCAGCTTAGATTGGAAACATTAATTAAAAAGAAGCCGGGAAAGAAGGAAGAGATGTATCAGTCAAACAAAGGGAATTAGTAAGCTTCAAAAATAAAGGGCAAGAAAAAAATCAATAAGTGCAAACATCACTGATCATTTATTTCAATCACTCTTTTGTTCTTTTTTGTCTCTCTGCCTTATCAGCGATCAGAAATACTTTTGTGTAATAAAGAGGATAGCTTTGACTTGCCAGCACATTTACATCTGTCTCAATTTTATTTCTGTTCTGAAGAAGGGTCGCTGGACTTGAAACATTATCTCTGATTTCTCTCGACATATGCTGCCAGACTTGCTGTGTTTTCCAGCAATCTCTGTTTTTGTTTCTGATTTCTGGCGTCCGCAGTTCTTTTGGTTTTTTATTTCTATTGCCTTCAAAATAAATAAAAATTAGTATTTTTATGTCCATATATCATTTAACATTTTCTTATTGTGTGGTTATTCACTGAAACCTCCTGAATTCAGCTTTCCTCCCAAATTTTACAACTATGTTGAAGTAATTTGATGGCTGAGTACTATAGTGAGTTGGAAAAGTAAAATTGTTGACATGGTATGAGTCTACTCAATGCAGGTCACTAAATAGCCCTCATGTTCCAAGGCTAGTGGCAGGCAGACCTTACTGGATCTCTTATGGTGCCAATACTGGTGAGACATACCCCTGGAGGTTACATCATATCACCTTCCACCTCCATATTCCTCCACTTAAATAGCCTTTCCTTACCATCTTCAATATTTTGTAAAAAATTAACAAAAATGTTCAATGAATTAAAAAAAAACATTTTTAATGCCCAGTATCTATTCACTTGGCTTCCTAGTGATAGTATAGTGATTAACTTTTAACTCCTGGAGGAGTGGCAATCAATGGTTTTGGGTCCGGAAACCTGGCCCCCGGCCTAACATAATTAATTCTTATGACGTCTGTCTGTTGTGTAATTAAAAACATCAAAAGTACAATTCGCTTCTTAACCATGAAATCCCACTTTACAACTGAAAGATAACCAAATGACACACACATTAAAATTCTCAAAGTCAGGAAAGAACTATCCATAGTGTGGTCTCCAGCCATATAAATTGGACACTCCTCTAGGAAATTAGCCTGACTTGCTTTATAACAGCAGTTGCAAAATTCAGTGATTATTGGGCAGTTATGAGGAGTAGAAATTCCTATAATATCACAGTGCACTTTAATTTTGATCCTTTTCTTGTGTAACAAAAGGTGCGTGATTTATACATTAATATCATTTGTTTTAAAGTTTTGATTTCAAACTAGTGGCATATGTGTGTTTGTCTCTTTTTGTGAAGAGGTTTAAAAAATGACTTGGTCAATCTTTTTAAAACCAGTGTCTTTCAGAAATCAAGGTCTGCTGGAGTGTTAAAACAAGTTTTCTTATAATATGGGCACTCACAGCAGTAGAAGATAAATATTAACCTGTTAACTATAGCAAAATCTAGTATGAGCAAGTTTTCTCTTAATTTAGTTGAAAAGGTTTTGGGCAATTTAAAGGAGACCTGACTAGGGTCTGAAGTAAATATAGCCTCTCCTAGGAAAGGAGATTGTTCAGAGCAATTAAGGAAATAATTTAACTTAACGACAGGGTATAATCTGTGAAACATTGAAAACAAGAGTTTTTGGTTAGAAACCTGCATTGATTATTCAAACACTGCAGAATTATGAACACTCAGTTGTATGAGGATTCAACTAAGAGATCTTCCCAGCTAACAGCACTGGAAAAGGCAGTTAAGTCAAACCTACAGCTTTGACAAGCAAAGAGGATTTCTCTGGGTTTTGATTAATTCTAAAGTGATGGCTTTTTTGACTGGGTGGGATTTTGATTTGCTATGTGTTTTAAGATCTTCAAAGTGTGTTATATTTAGATAGTTTGGTTTAATCGTAGGCTCATTGGCATTTACAGCACTAAAGGAGGCCTTTTGGCCCATCGTGTTCAAGCTAGTCTATAAACATCTGACGCACTAATCCCATTCTTCAGCTTTTGGTCCACAGCCCTGGAGGCTGTGGCTATGCAGTGAATATCTAAACACTGCCTAAGGGTTCTGAGAGTTTCTGACTCCAACAACCTTTCAGGCAGTGTGTTCCAGATTCCCACCACTCTCTAAATGAAAGAAAATCCTCCTCAACTTTCCTCTTAGTTTTTGATCTCTCACCTTACATACATGGCCTTTCATTATTGACCTCTCTACTAATAGAATAAAATGTTTTCTATGCTTCTCATAATCTACCAAGTCCCATCTCAACCTTTGCTACTCCAGGAAAACAATTCCAGCCTTTGTAATCTTTCCTCATAGCTCAGACCTCCAGCCCAGTCACCATATTAGTAAATCTCCTCTGCACTCAATTTAGTGAAAATCTCTCTCAAATTTATTTTCTTTTAATCTCTTTTGTGTAATAAACTGATGCTTAATTGTGAAAATGAAATCTGCAGTCCTGCTTGCTTATGTTTCAGTAAATTATCACCAACATAAATGGAAAAGTAACAAGATATGACTAATCAGGCCAAATTTCA